GAACAGCCAATGCAAAGCCATGTCTGCACTGCACCACATCCCTTACCATGGCCTCTATCTCGGTCTAGGTGGTTGACCCCTAGGACGCCCCTGCCTTCCCCTGTCCAGACTCCATAGTATCTTTCTCGCCCAGTCCCCAGCCCTGCAATCAGAGGGAGCTGGTGGATCTAGGTAGCATCCTCATGGAAAATAACCAAGGAGATCCGAGGAGGTCCCCATACTTTAGAGTCTGATTTCCCCAGTATGAGGTGGTCATACCAGTGGGGATGCACAGTATGATTTTAGGAGGTACATGGACAAGCACCTCCTTTTTTCAGTAATGCATTTATTTTAAAACGTATTTAGAAAAAAAACAAGTGTATCAAACTTGATATTATTGCCAAGGACACATGGAGAAAAGCTTTGTTTATTTCAATGCAATATAGAGGAATACACACACATAGAGAGAGAATATTAATTGTTGAATCTTGGAGAAGGAGAAAGGGTGTTCATTCTCTAGTTTTGCACCTTTTCTGTGTAATCAAGGAATTTCAGGTACAAAGTTGGTGGAGGGAAATAAAACTGAGACATTCCCCCTTGAGTTCCTTTCTCAAGACAGTAGCGGAATACAGTGGTTACAAGTGCAGGCTTGGGAGCCGGACTGACTGGGCAAGGCTCCAGTCTCTGGCTTTGAACCAGTTCTCAACCTGCCTCAGTTTCTCCATCTAAAAAGTGAGATGGTAACAATACCTACAACGTCAGGTTGTCCTGAGGCTCTGATGAGTTAATGAACTGTCACCAGAGCACTGGCCCATCTGAAGCGGGAGCTCCATAGACACTGGCTATGCTGTGGTTGGCCCACTCGTTGGAGAACCCTAGGCAGGCACATTAATGTGGGTCGTGGTGGAAGGCCACCCGACGCCTGGTGATGGCCCTCTTTTGAAAGGCTTCACATCCTGCCTCCTCTTTTGCCTATGAACACCCACCCCCCACACACACTCTAGCCAGTTCTGCACAGAATGCATTTTTATAGATCAGATTTATTAGTACTTCTATTAGGCTGTTAATTTTTTATTTCAATTGTTAAAATTTAATAACATTGTTTTGTTTTCACTGTTCATTTGTAAGATTAAAGTCTATTTGAGGCAGGTCACGCTGGGTTTCGTTTCCATTTGCAGGAATAACGAAAATTTTCCTTTTAAAATAAATTTTAAGAGGTGAGTAGATTTTTGAACTACTGTCACAATATTTCTGTAAATCTAAAACTGTTCTAAAAATTTTTTATTTTAAAAACCCAGATTTGAGGTTTTAAAAAAAGTTTTTATAGAAAAGAGAATCGATTAAAGGAAAATATTAAATACTGGCTCTGGGGATTTGCAGAGACTAATGGATAGGAAACACTGCTTTGCTGGAAACCAGTTTGATCAGCCTGCTTTCCTCCCAACCCTGATCAATTGTCTTCACAGGAGAGGGGTTTGGGGGGCAGGGAGAGGGGAGAGAAGGAACTATGATGATAGAGCACAGAGCTCTTTGGGGTGGGAAAAGGCTGTGGGGGCTGTCTCTGCCAGGATCTCTCTCAGAGTTGTGATGGAAATGAGTCTAATGACAGGTTAAGGGATGGCGAAACTCCCCGAAACTAGCAACAGTGGGGAACAGTTAGTGCCTGAAGGGCTAGGCAGGCAGCTCTTGCTGGAGTCCTCTGAGGGCAGAAGTTCTGGGATTGAGCCACCTGACAGGAGCTATGGCCTTCCGTGGAGGAATGCAACCTGCCCCACAGTAGGAGAGCCACTGAACAAACCTTCAGCCTCTTTCCTTCCATTGTCTAAGCCCCTGCTGCTGCTTCCCACTGGCTGAAACAACCAGAAGCCAGAGGGCAAGGGAACTCACATGACACAGTCAGTGGAGAAGAAAAAAAGGCAGAGCATGTGCCTGCAGGGGCAGAAGGAGAATATCCAGTGCAGGCCTGGGCAGTTTGGAGTGGGAGGGCTGCTGCAAACATTCAGCAGATGTGTGATAAGAGCCTGGAAGACAGAGTCAAACTGTCTGTGCTTCATACCTACAGCGTAGTTGTACAGGACAGTCACTTCCCCCATCTGTCACTGGGGGAGCAAACACTCCTTCCAGGAGTGCAGAGAAGCTGGACGCACAGTAAGTAGGCTTGCTGGTCAAACCAGACTATCACCTGCCCTTTCCAAGAGGACGGAGCCCCTCCCATCTCCCCCCTGCTCCACAGGCCCAGCTGGATCCTCTGCAGCCACTTTGGGGGCTGTAACGTCCTTGGCAAAGCTCCTGGTTGGTCCTGCTTCACACTCAGCTTCCTGGCTGTCTCAAATCCCACCACACTGCTTCTTACCTCTTCACCCCTTCACTGTACAGACCAGGAGCAGAGGCCCAGAGAGGGGAGCAGCTAGTCCAAAGCCACACAACAAATCAGTGACAGGTCAGTGGATTTAAAGGGGCCTAGTAGGCCAGTACAGGAAGGCCATTTCCCCAGAACCAGGCTGATATCCTAGCGGGGGATGGGGAGCAGGGGCGATGGGTAGCGGGGCGGAGGGCTTCCTTAGGAGGCAGGGAATCCTGGTCAAGGCTTCTGGCTGTCTATAGTTTTCCAGCCTAATTAAACACCTGCAAATCTATTTGCTACTAATGATATAGAGGGAGCTCCAGGGAATTTTTGAAGGACAAAAACAATCATTCACATCGAAAGAATACAGTGCAGACCTGCAGGAATGTAGGTGCCAAGGGGTTCCCATGATTCCAACACCCCCATCTCCATCAGGCCATGTCTCCCCATTCTCTTATGGATACTTGATGTCCTCTCCATCTTAAGTAGAGAGATTGCAAAAGTACCTTCAAGCTCTTCTTCCTCCCATGGCCTTGGCTGCCCTGTTTCTAATCCCTGTCTGTGCTGAGTGGCTGTGTGACCTTGGGCGCATGTCTGCCCTCTCTGGGCCCGGTCTTTCTCACCTGTTTAAAGGAATAATGATCCTTCTCCCATTTCCTTCATCTTGCCACTCTAGGAGATGAGAAAACTCTTAGACCCAACAATTCTCTCTCTTCCCACTTTCGGACAGCCCCACCATACTGAACTTCCTACCACTCTCCAAATATACCCCATGAAATTGGGAAGGTATATCAGTTTGATTTTGCTGTGTAACAAACCACCTCCCAAATTCAGTACTTGGTTTAAAACAATAAGCATTAACAGGTCAGCTGGGCTTATTGCTGCACCTGAGTCAGGACTTCCTGTCTATGACAAATTGATTACAAAATTGGCCCCAGTTCACCACCCTTACCCTCATATCCATGCCCCTTGTAATATGACTTTACAATTCCTCCCATCGAAAGGGGGAGGCTATTTTCCTACCCCATTAATCTGGCCTGGCCTTATGACTTGCTTTGATCAATAGAATGTGGCAGAAGCGATGATGGGCCAGTTCTGAGCCCTGGCCTTAAAATATCTTCCATGCTTCTTCTTGCTCTCTGGCCGCCTGTCACTGCTACCATGAGAATAACCTGGGCTAGCCTGCTGGAGGATGAAAGACAGCACAGAGAGAGGCCCCAGCCATACTAACCCAGGTCAGTGGATCTGACAGCCCCAGTCAACTAGGGTGGCCAACTCTTTCAGTTTGCTCAGGATTGAGGGGTTTCCTGGGATGAGGGTCTTTCAGTGCTATAATGGGGACATTCCTTGGCAAACCAGGAAGGTTGATCACCCCACAGCTGACTCAGCAGCTAACTCAGGTGCAGGAGTAAGCAACAACTCTTGTTCCTTCCTTGAGCTATAAAAATTTCTTTTTTTCTTTTTTTTTACACCTACAGCACTTAGTCTTCCTAGGTAGTCTCCCATCCAAGTACTAACCAGGCCCAACTCTGCTTAGCTTCCGAGATCAGATGGGATCGAGTGTGTTCAGAGTGGCATGGCCGTAGACTAAGGATTTCTTTTTCCCTCCTATGCAATCACCTCCTTGCTGGCATTCTGTCTCACAAAGGGACTTTCTTTTTTAAATTTTTATTTGTTAAATCATCATACAGTCAAATTTACTTTTTTCTTTTGATGTACAGTTCTATGAATTTTAACATGTATAGCTTTGTATAACCACCACCATAATCAGGACACAGAACAGTCCCATCATGCCAAGGGAAATTTTTACAAATATGTGTTTATTTTAAAATTTTGGGATAGATAATATATATATTTTGTAAAAAAAAAAAAAAACGTTTAAAAGTATAAAGTTTATTCAGTGAGAACTGTTTCCCACTGCTAATCACTCCTCAGATGCAATCTCTAGTTTCTAGTACCTCCTTTTAGAGATGCGTTATGCATATGAAAGCATAAATATGTAAAACTATCCTACCCTGGTTTTATACAACTGGAATTGCATTTAGTTTTTTGTACTTAATATATTTCAAAGATTGCTTCAGATCAGTAAAATTATAGTCTATACATACATGGTACTTACCATGTGCCAGGCACTGGTCTAAATTCCTTAAGACTAGCTTTTTTGTTTTTGTTTTTGTTTTTTTACTCATTTACTCCTGAGCATTTTTAAAGATATATGGTATTATTATTACTCCTACTAATCCCATTTTGGAGATAAGAAAACTGAAGCTTAGAGAGGTTAGGTTAGGCAACCGGCCAAGGTCACACGGCCAGTAAGTAGCAGAGCTAAAGTTAGGACCCAGGCGTTCTGAGGGACCCCATTAATCTGCCTTGGTGCACTTCAGGTAATTTCATGGAATTCCACTATATCCAGACATGGTCATTTATTTAACCAGCCTCCTCTTGATGGCCATTATTTGCCAGTGCAAACAAGGCTGCGCTGGAATTCTCAGTCATTTGTCTTTCCCGACATGTGGAAGTGTATCTGCTGAATTAGTTCCTAGAAGTTGAATGCCTGGGTCACAGGGTACGTGCAGTTTTATATTTGATAGATATCTCCAGATTGTCTTCCCGAGAATTGTAACAGTTTATACTGCCACCAACAACTCGTGAGAGAACTTGTGCCCTACACTTTCACCAACATAGGATATTATCAAAAATTTTGGCCTATGCCATATAATAGGGGAAATGGCAACTTGATGTAGTTTTTATTAGCATTTCTCTTACCATAATTGAGCCAGGACCTCTTTTCATATGTTTAGAAGCCATCTGTGTATGCTTTTTGTGAACCATCTATCTACGTCTTGTGTCCATTTTTCTTTTGGGTTACCAATCTTTTAAAAAAATTGACATATGATCTCTCATACATATGAGACAGTTTGTTCATTTTTCTGAAATCTTATTTGTGGTATTTTTTTCTTATCAGACATGTTCAATTTTAGTAGTCATTCTCATATTTTTTTCTATGGCTTCTGTGTTTGAATCATTTTGAGAAAGTCTTTCCCCTTCCCAAATTAAGAATCACAAAAGAATTATCCTATTTGCCTCAGAACTTTCATGTTTTTATTTATTTACCTTTAAATATTTGATCCATCCAAAAATTAAGTAAGGATATGTGGTTTCAACCTGATTTTTCCTAGTTACCTCAACATCATTTATTAAACAATCCATTTTTACCCATTCATTTGAAGTGACACCTTTATAAAATTAAATTCTCATATGCATTTGTGTCTAATTCTTGACTCTTTTTTATCATCTTCCCAGCTATTCTTTTTATTTTTGTGCATGATATAATTTACATATAATAAAATACACAGATTTTAAGTGTTCACTTCAGTAAATTTTGGCAATTTTATATGTGAGTGATCACTACTCAAAACAAGACAGAACATTTCCATCATCTCAGATGATTCTCTCATGTTCCTTCACAGTCAATCTCCACCCACACTGTCCCAGACGCAACAACTATGAGGTTTTTTTAAATTATAGGTTTGTTTTGCTTTTTCTAAAATTTCATAGAAGTAGAATCAGACAGTATGCACATGTTTACGTCAGGCTTGTTTTGCTCAGTATAATGTTTTTGAAATTCATTCAAGTTGTGTGTACCAATAGTTTGTTCCTTTTTATTGCTGCACAATATTCCAAGATACGAATTTTCCACGGTTTGTTTAGCCAGTCTTCTATCAACAGACACCTGGGTGGTTTCCAGTTTGGGACTACTATGACTCAAGCTGTTATAAACATTATTATGCAAATCTTTGTATGGATATCTATTTTTCCTCTCTCTTGGGTAGAATTGCTAGTTTGGAGATCAGGTGTATGTTTAGTTTTATAAGAAGCTATCAGACTTTTTCTTCTTTCAAAAATGGTTGTACCATTTTGCATTCCCATCAACAATATATACAAATTTCAGCTGCTCCACAATCTTGCTAATATTTGGTGCTGTCATTTAAAATTTTTAAAACTGTTCTGGTGGGTGCGTTGTTGAATCTCATTGTGGTTTAATTTGTCTTTTCATGATGACTTACACTGTCAAATGCTTCTTCATTTGCTTATTGGCTATTTTGTGAGGTATCTGTTCAAATCTTTTGCTTATTTTGAAAATTGGGATTTTTTTTTAAAATTACTGAGTTGTAGGAGTTCTTTGTATATCCTGGATACCAATCCTTTGTCAGATATATATGCTTTGGTAGATGTTTTGGTAGATGTTTTCTACCAATCTGTGACTTGCCTATTCATTTTCTCAATGGTGTCTTTTGATAACAAAAGCTTTTCATTTCCAAGTTGAATTTATCAAATTTTTTCTTTTATAATTATTTTATATCCTAAGAAATCTTTGCTTATTTCTATTGCTTATTTCCAAAATATCCTCCTATGTTCTCTTCTAGAAACTTTATGATTGTGACATTTTCATTTAGGTCTATGATCCACATTAAATTCATGTTTGTGTTTGGTGTGAGACAAGGGCTGAGTTTAATGTTTTTTTATACAAATATCTAATTATTCCAACACCGTTTGTTAAAACAGAAGTTTCTTCTCCAGTGAATTGTTTTGGTCCCTAGATCAAAACTCAAATGACCATATAAGAGAGGTCTAGTCCTGAATTTTTTATTCAGTTCCTTTCCTTTGCTATTTGCCTATGCTTACATTGATACCACATTGTCTTAATTACTATAGCTTTAAAATAAGCCTTGAAACCAGGTAGTATTAGTTCTTCAAAATGGTTCTTCATTTTCAAGATTTTTTTTTTAGCTATTTCAGACCCTTAAATTCACATATGAATTTTAGAATCAGCTCATCAGCTACGAAAAAGCCTACTATGATTATGATAGGGATTGTATAAATCTGTAGGTCAATTTGGGGAGAATGGACACCTTAACTATATCAAGGCTTCCAATCCATGGTGGATTGATTGATTGATTGATTGATTATTTAGTTCGTTAGTTCTTTAAATTTTCTCACCAATTTTTTGTAGTTTTTAGATATAAGTTTACATATTTTATTTGATATATTTGAGATTTTCTAATGACAATGTAAATTATATTTTTAAATTTCATTTTCTAATTTTTTTTGCTAGTATAGAGATAAAAAATTGATTTTTACAAAATCACCTTATATCCTACAACCTTGCAATATTTACTTAATAGTTCCAGTAATTTTTTATAAATTCCATAAGGTTTCCTATATAAACAATGTATCATCTGTGAATTCTAGTAGTTTAACTTTTTTCCAATTCTTATGCCTTTTATTTCTTTTTATTGTTTCTATTGCACTATCTAAAATTTCCAGTTCAATATCAAATAGAAGTGAGAATAGACATTCTTGCCTCATTCCTGAACCTACAAAGACTTAATGTTTCACCATTAAGAACAATGTTAGCTATAGGCTTTATTGGTAGATGCTCATTATCAGATTGAGAGAGTTCCTTTCTATTCTTAGTCGCTGACAGTTCTTATCATGAATAGATTTTGAATCTGTCAAGCAATTTTTTGGCATCTGTTGGAATGGTCCCATAGGTTTTCTCCTTTATTCTGTTAATACGGTGAATGGCATTAATTGATTTCTGAATGTTAAACTAACCTTGCATTTCTAGGACAAATTTCACTTGATTACGATGTATTATTCTTTTGCTGTATTGCTAGATTTTATTGGCTATTATTTTGTTAAAGGTCTTTACATCCACATTCATGAGGAATATTTGTCTGCATTTTCTTGTGATATCTTCATTGGGCTTTGGAATCAAAATTATGCTGGTCTCATAAAATGATTTGGGAACTGCTCATATTATTTCTTCCATAGATGATAAAATTAAAAATTCTTTGCTAGTTTTTAAAAGCTCTATTTCCTGAAAGAGTTTGTATAGAATTGGTATTATGTCTACCTTAAATATTTGATAGAATTCATCAGTGAAATCTACCCAGGCTTGGAGTTTTCTTTGTGGGAAGGAATTTTTTTTTTTTTTTTTTTTACAAATTCAATCTCTTTAAGAGATAAAGGCTATTTAGGTTTTCTACGTCTTCTTTTGTCAGTTTTGCTAGAGTTGCATTTTTAGGGACCTTGTTCATTTCATCTAAGTTGTCAAATTTTACATCAAATTGTTTACAATGTTCCCCACCTCTTTTTGAACGTTTTCAAAGTGAACTTTAGAATCTGTCAATTTTCCCATAACAAAGAGTGCTTCTAACTCAATTCCACTATTTCTTGAGCACCCAGATAGATAACATATCCTAGTCTTTCTTGTTATTGTGGTGGTCATATGATGGAGTTCTAGCCAACAGAATGTGAGTGAAAGTGCTGTGTACCACTTCTAAGACTGGCTCATAAAAACTTCCCATGCTTGATCACTTATGTTTCTCTGCCAGTTGCAGACAGATGAGCGCAGTCACCTTGGAAACCATGTGTTGGGAATAGCAGAGCTAAAAATTAAAGAAGTCTGATTGCGAGAGAGACACACACACAGATGCCTACCAATCAGAAACATTTTTGGGGGGCTTCATGTAAGCTAGAAATAAACATCTGTTATGTTCTAGCCATCACATATGCTGAGTT